CTTCCACAGAATGGTCTCCCTTCAGAGAAGAACCCATATGTTTTTAATGGTGATTTTGTAGATCGAGGAAAAAATTCCATAGAGATCCTAATGGTCTTGCTTGTGAGTTTTCTTGTCTACCCCAATAACTTGCACTTGAACAGAGGAAACCATGAAGATTTTATGATGAATTTGAGGTAATGTTGGTCTTTAGATTTTCTTTTTTATTTCTCATTCTGGAAAATGCTGCTATGTTTAGTTCCCAGCAGAGACTTAAAAGTGAGGGTAAAGAAAAAGAGATGAAGGAATCTCACGGAAGACCTTAATTTTTACCCCTGTTCTCCACCCCGCATTCTTCAACTGAGTGAAGATCAATTGCTCTGAAACTGCCTCCTTTCTTTTTTCCAGTCCTATTCTTGCTTCTCCCTTTTATTATGTTCTTTGTCTTGCTGTTATGTGCATCCTTCCCAGACCAAATTGCATTTGGGTTAGGTATGTTAGGCCAGGTTTGCAGGTGAGGTAGGTTTTATGAGCAGATAGAATCATTCTGTTTTACTCTTTTGGTTTGTCTCAAGTGTTATGTCAGAAACTAATGCCATGTTTTCACTAATGTGTGTATTTTTATGACATGGTAATTGCTTATGGCAGAGTAGTTCATAAACTGTTTTGAGAATTGCTGTAAGATAGCATTTCAACTCTTGTACTTACTGGAGACTTGAGAAATAAAGATTTGTTAAATGGTTTAAGAATTTTTGCTGAAAGGCATAGTAGGTGACAAATATTCCCTTCATCCTTATTCTTTTCCTTTCATATTTCATTTTCTGGAAAACAGAAATGAGTTTGTTGTAGGGCAGTTGAACGCATGGCATGTCTCACACTTTTGATCCTGGGCTTTTAGGTGCCTTGATTAAAGCTCAGAAACTAATTAGTTTTGTCTTTGGGACAGCTTTGAACCTGGCCTGAGTACAGAGTTACATTTCTAATTCTCCAGGTTTGAAAGCAAATGCTAAGACTAAGAAAAATAAAAATCCCAGAACTATTATCAGAAACCCATTCTATATAATAGCTCAACAGTTCTATTTTCCATCCCATTTATCCTTTCATTTATTAAATTAGCAAATCATATTATCTAATTACTATTGTAGTTAATGAGAGAGACACAGCCCCTGTCCACACTGAGTTTACATCTAACAGGAAAGACATGTGTTGAACAGGTTTTTTGAGTTTAATGTGTTTCTAAAGGAGGGATTCAGCCTTGTCTGAAGACTGATATAAAGTTCCCCCATATAAATATGGTACTAGCCTGAGACCTGAAGGATGACTCAGGTAATCAAGAGAGAGGCACAGTGTGGGAATGGGAAACAGTGTCCCACAGTGAGGAGACAGTTTATGCAGAGCTGAAGACTTAGACTTGAAAGAAGTTCAGGAAGGCAAAAGCATAGAGTGAATGATAGGATGGTGCCTGGTAGAGCTGGAGATGTAAGAAATGGTTGAATGGTGCAAAGGAATGTGGACATCTTTTGTAAGAACAAAGGAGTATCATTAATAAATATTATAAAATGTGTGCTTTAAAATGTAGCAGAAGAGTGATTTGGAGAGGGGCAAGAGTGGACACAGGAAAGTCAATTAGGGAGTGGTTGAAAAATAGATTATAGGTTTTTATCTAAACTAGGTGGTGACAAGGGAGATGCAAATAAAAAGATTCAAGTGAATTTTAGGCAATGATGATTTTTGGCTCAGTAACTTGAAATGGGGGACCTGAAAGAGGAACAAATCAAGGAGGAACGGTCTTGAGTTTTGGGGTACAACATTGTCATTTTGAAGGAAAATGATGTGTTCAATTTGAGGTAAGCTGATTTGAAGTGCTATTATATGGTCATTTGAGTATAGGTGTCCAGAGATCAGAATTTGAGGTATAGTCTGGAGTGTCACCATGTAGTATTCAGATATTAACTGAATCCCTGGCTGGGCAGGGATGAGGTTGATAAAGGGAAAATAAATGGAGGAGATGGCCTTAGAATGAATCTGAAGAAACACCAACATTTAAGGCTAAGTAGAGAAGGAGAATTTGCAAAGGAATTTCAGAATAGCCAAAAAGGAAAGAGACAAAACCAAGAAAACTGATTGTCACAAAATCTAAGAGAAATTTTATGGAAGGATGGTATAGCCAAATATATGTAGTGTTTCAGAGAGGGTGAAAAAGGTGAGGGCTGTAAGGTGTACATTGGTTTAATAACATGGAAACCTTTGGTGAGTACAGGGAAATTCATCTTGGAAAAAATGATGATACATTGTAGAAGCCAGACATGACATGATTTGTATGGGAATGTGGGGTGAGTGTGCTATGTTCCTATTTTACTATGTTGGATAATATATGCTATTATCCTAAAGCAAGGAAAAGTAATTTAAAAAATCTGCCTTAGCTATTCCACTTAAAGTCCTGATATTGCCATTAAAATCCTCAATGCCATTCATTACATGATCTGTATCAGAGAAAGCATGAAGAGCCATCTCATTATCTTCTAGGCTTTTCTTTGTCTTTATTCACTCTCTTTTTAAATGATCAATTACTGTGAGATATGACATCCTATAAGATGTCTGAGAAAAAAAATCTATCTAAATGAAAAGCCTTTCTCCCACACAGCTTTTTCAAGTTGCCATAGCATACTCCTCAAAACACTTCAAGCCTTTACATACCCATGCCTACCATGTATTTCTTAAGTTCTCTTATGATTGTTTCATGAAAATCTGTTTTCTTACCCAATTATATTATAAGTTGCTTGAGAGTAGAATTATGCCATTGATTGCTTTTTTTCTTTCCCATCGTGCCTAGCACAGATTTGGGTAAATAATAGTTCCAACTGAAGTCCAGTTGGTGATAGTGAGCTGTCAATCTGATTACCCTTTTTTTGCATGACTTGCAAAACTGGGGAGTTATCAATAATTAACACTTTAAATTCGACTGATTTTTTTTTCAGATATGGGTTCACAAGAGAAGTTTTACATAAATACAAGGTAAGACATACTCTTTTTTTTTTTGCATCGTCTTTGCTGTTTATATGTAGAAGTTAAACAAAAAGCCAATAACGACTAGATTGATACTTTAGGAAAGGTGATAAACTAACTAGTCAGGATCCATGTGAATAAAATACAAGTATAGCAGAAGCCCTCACCATGCCAGACTCTTAGTTTTGCTTTTTCATTGTGACTTTTTTTTGTCATTTTCAGCATACATATGAACATATATTCCATTGTTTTCAAGGTACCTACTGGGATTTGTTTTATTCTACTATGGTACAGCAGGCAGACACAGAAATGACTGTCATGAAGAAAGAGATTTTTATTCCCAGTTACCTGGAAACAGTAGGCATTGCATGCCACACTGGTGTGGGGGGGAATTACATGGGGGAGTACCAGAGTCAGTCAGAAGGTGGAAGGAATCAGGGAAAAGATGGACAAAAGCATTTACTGTGGTTTTCCTGGGAGGGAAAGGCAAGGTGTCTCGGGGTAATCAGGCTTAAGATTGACTAGTTAGAATAATGTCAGCCTGCTCTGGGGCATAAATAAGGGTTGTCCCTAGGTGTTTGGTACCTGGCCCTGGGGTGATTAGTACCCCTGAGTGTGGGAGCTTAATAAAAGAGGTCTTAGGAGCTGTGGGCTTTAAATTGGTTGATTTACATATGGGCAACAAGTCACTTATTATCTCTAGGAATTAGTCCTGGGTGGGACAATCTCTCCTCTAGGTTGGGCAAGCCCCCAAGATGTCCAAGTATCACTAATACAAGCCAGGCTTAGTGCCAGTGGTTCACACCTGTAATCCTAGCTGCTTGGGAGGCTGAGATTGGGAAGATTGGGGTTTGATGCTCACCCAGGCAAAACTGTAGTGAGGCTCAATGTTACCCAATAGATGGGCATGGTGGCCTGTGTCTGTCATCCCAAGCTGTGCAGGAGGAAGAGATTGGAAGAACTGTGTATCTGAGACAGCCCATGCAAAAAAGTTTGCAAGACCCCATCTCAATGGAAAAAAAGCTGGGTGTGGTAGTATATACTTGTCATCCCAGCCACCGTAGAAGTGTAAAATAGGAGAATCATAGTCCAGGCGTTACTGGGCAAAAAGTGAGATCCTATCTCCAAAATAACCTGAGCAAAAAGGACTGAAGGTATGACTCAAGTGGTAGAGCACCTGTCTAGCAAGTGA